CTCAGCCCGCCCCGCCCCCTGCCCGGCCGCAGCCGCGCGTGACGCCGGAGCGGATTCGGATTGGGGCGGGGGCGGGGGCGAGCCGGTGTGCAAAGGCGGGGCGTGGCAGAGGGGGCGACCCTGTATTTGTGTAGGGAAAGAGAGGCTAGAAACGTTAGTGATGGGCTACTGCTGTTGTGCGGCTGCAGAAGAAAATAAAAGCGAGCCACTTTGTTGCAGTGCGATGAAGAGCATCTGCAGCTGTCCAGACTCGTGTAGACTGGGGGGCTGTATGAAACGGCGTCTGTTTTGTTCCAGGACAGCAGCAAAATACGCAGGAGGCCCTTCTGGACCTTCCCCGTCCGCCCCAAGCGACCCTGGTCATCGCAGCCAGGCGTGCACGCCCGCTGGCCGGGAGGATGGCGCTCCCTTTGCAGGCTGCAGGTTTGCAGCGAGGTGAAGGGCAGGGTGTGCGTTGGGAGGGGGGTGAATCGGGGAGGCCTTCGTCTAGGTGCATCTCTGCCCCCTTCTCCCACCAGGCCCGGCTCAGCCACCTTCATTGCATGAAAAGGGCATCCCCCTTTGGACGGCTCCCAGCTGACCTGGTGAAATGGAGCGGGGGTAAGTGCAATGGCTGAGGAACCGGGCTGCCCCGTACCCCAGGCCTGCGCCGTATTTGCCCCCTGCCCACACAGCTGGCCCTCCCGGCCGTTCTGACAGCGGCGATTCCTCGGTGCCTGTCCCCTGGGTCATAGCTCCAGTCATGCCAACTCTTGTGAAAGAATCACGAGACTCCTGTTTTCCTGTCATATTAACGGTGGCTCACGATCTCCTGATAGAAAAAAAAAAGCCTGAGATTTTTTCTCTCTTTCTGGCCCGTGTAGAGCACGCCAAGCTGGTACATCTATGTGGGGGAATGGGGTGGGGGCATCAGATCGGAGACCCTCACTCCCAAACCACAGGCCCCCCATGCAACAGAGCTGTGTGTTTGTGCGCATGCACCCCTCACTCCCAAGCCACAGCCCCGCAGCCCTGCTGCTGCCTTTCACTCCTGACCTACAGCACCCCGCATCCTGCTAAGGTATACAGGGACCCCCCCCATGGGCTCCAACCCCCCCCCACACACCTTCACAAATAACA